CCCATTGGGCCCATGGTTCCATCAGCACTTCTGCCAGCACCAGGGGCCTCACTGGCCCGTGTGTTTCCCACACCAGCTGTGCCTCTGGGGTGTTCTCTTCTTTCTGGAAGGGCACTACACACTGTAGCCTAGGAACTCTACCAGCTTTCTCCTGTCTGGAGAATTTGGCATCCAAAAGCCTCTTCTCATTTTGTCCTGCTACTTCTCTTTCAGTGCAAGCTAGTTGTGTTTCTGCTGATTCAACATTAAAATCTTGTGGGTCTCCCCTGTATGTCACAGGGGTCAAGCAAACTAGGTGGGAGGGTCTCCCAGAGATCTTTCCCAGCCAAGTGTCATCATTCTCAACTTCTGCTGTGCAGGGCACAGTCACTGTAAGGAGTGTAAGGAGTCCATAAGCTCCTGGAGATTTCCTTCAGGAAACTTCAGGAAGGTTGACCTCCAAATCCAGAAGCAGCATCTGCACACCCGTATCACACAACACTTCCTGCTTCCCATGCCAGCACGCCAGATGTGCACTGTGACGCAGGACCCTAGTGTTCCTGATGGCTGTGAGGCCCCCGAGTATGGGTATACTCCCCACATTGCTGCCACTGCTGGGCTCACGGCAGAAGGAATGCCCTGCTCCCACGCCCCTGAAATGCTAACCCCTTTAGTGCTATGGACAAAGTCGCTGGATCCACAAAGGGGATAACATGTTTCTCAGAAGCCCACAGTTGTCACTCTGCTGAACAACATTCTGCCCCTAGTCCGAAATACACCTTATGTGAGAGTAAACCTCTCCCTCAGCAGTACTGGTAGAATGACGCCTTGGGTCACCAACTAGAATACCTGAGAACTAACCAGAGTGCAGGCAAGAGGTGTCACTAAGGGGGCAAATGGTGGCAGGTCCCCAACCAGAGGGAGCCATAAAGAAACAACAGAAAGTCCTCCGTCAGTGTGTTTTCAGTGCAAGATTCCAGACACATACTCGCTGTACTGTGACAAAAGTGAGTTGAATCTTGTCCAGTTTCCTTTGAAAGACTAAATGACCTATATAAATTAAGTCAAAACATTTTATTCTATAAATAGGCATTTCTAAAACAAAGGCTCACTTCCTTAAACATGAAACACTTTGAAGAGTGTCAGGACGGCATAAGAAAGGCCACTCATTTTTCAGATTTTGCAAAACAAAAAGACAATTTCCCATCTCTTGTTAAATACAAGAGCAAATGTAGCCATTACTAAAACATGCTGTTGTCTACATCTAAGGGAAACTTTGCAGAAAGTAAATAAAGGTGCTTTAATCAGATGTAAACCAAATTCCCTGAAGCAGCGTCTATACTTTTCACATTTTACGGTTCTCATCCCCTCTGCTACATCAGTGTGACTGTGTTCTCAGAGTGTGTAAAACAAGGTAAGGTAGGATCATGTGGCAGTGGGTGCACAGCACTTCAAGCTAAGCCGAGGTGCAGTGGTAACTCTGTCTAGAAGGGTCACTAAGCTTGACGGAGTATGTTCAGTACTAGATGGTTGACTGAAAAATCAGAACAAGCCCGACTCAGACAGACCAGCTGCCATCTTTCCCAGGCAGACCAAACAAAGGGTGCATGAGTGTGTGCAGGTGTGTGTATGTGGGGTGCGGGTGTGCTGCTGTAGTATGCGGGGTGTCTGTGGATGTGGGTATATGCAGGTGTGTGTACTGCTGTATGTGGGGTGTGTGTGTACAGGTGTGTGAATGTGGGGTGTGGATGTCTTGCTGTAGTATGTGGGGTGGGTGTGGGTGTGCGGAGGTGTGTGTGCTGGTGTATATGGGTGTGTACAGGTGTGTGAGTGTGGGGTGTGAGTGTGTTGCTACAGTATATGGGTGTGTGTGTGTACAGGTGTGTGAATGTGGGATGTGTATGTGTTGCTGTAGTATGTGCGGTGGGTGTGGGTATGCGGAGGTGTGTGTACTGGTGTATATGGGTGTGTGCAGGTGTGTGAGTGTGGGGTGTGAGTGTGTTGCTACAGAATATGGGGTGTGTGTGTGTATTGGTGTGTGAATGTGGGGTGTGGATGTGTTGCTGTAGTATGTGCGGTGGGTGTGGGTGTGGAGGTGTGTGTACTGGTGTATATGGGTGTGTGCAGGTGTGTGAGTGTGGGGTGTGAGTGTGTTGCTACAGTATATGGGGTGTGTGTGTGTATAGGTGTGTGAATGTGGGGTGTGGATGTGTTGCTGTAGTATGTGAAGTGGGTGTGGGGTGTGTGCTGCTACAGGGTATGGGGTGTGTGTGCGTACAGTGTGTGAATGTGGGGTGTGGATGTGTTGCTGTAGTATGTGAAGTGGGTGTGGGTGTGTGGAGGTGTATGTACTGGTGTATGTAGGTGTGTGCATGTGGGGTGTGAGTGGTGTTTGTGTGTGTGTACAGGTGTGTGAATGTGGGGTATGGATGTGTTGCTGTAGTATATGAAATGGGTGTGGGTGT